AGGTCTCGACCGGACTGAAGTGGCCCATAAGTGGCCCAAGTCTTCTCTAGTTCTTCCAGTTAGCCAAAGCAAAAGCGGAAAGGCTACGCGCCTGTCAATTCGCATGAAACACAAACCGTTGTCTCTACAGAAGGAGATTCCTTCAAGCGTTGCGGGGCTTGACAAGCACACCCACCCCATAAAACATGAACCGACCGTTCCAAGGCGACAAGTTCGGTCAGCCGTCAGCCCAGGTGCTGCAGGAGTCAGGTGCCAAAGATGAGCACTTCAATTCTGAGCATCTTGTTCCTGGTGCGAACAAGCCGCTGAGAAGGAATTAGAACGAGGGTTTTGGGTTACTATGTGTGGACTGAATGCATTCTAAGAGGAGGCCTTGAATGAAATCCAGTAACGATTCTTATGAAGAAGTACGGTTGGTTATAGACCCTTAACAAACGCTAAACCTGACTACCTGCCCCTTAAAGACCAAATATTCCGTTCTATCGACCCTTTACCTGGTTCCATATTTGCTCATGGGCAATGGGCGGGTAGATGTTTAGATGGCACGCGTTTGGGCCCCTTTGCTGCCAGGATCTTCGGAGACCTGGAGAATTGCGACACATGGATGCAGTGAGCGTTGGTGCAGCAAAAAGCTGAAGATTAATCTTCCTTGACTCATCCGATTTTCCTAGGTTGAACTCCGACTCCAGCGCTGCCCACAATTTCGGTTTGCCATGAATGGGATTGCATGCACAAGCACCAAACAAGGTTCCTTTCCTCTTGGCCACGGGATGTGTCGGGTGGAAACGGATTGCGCTTTCAGGCCTGAAGGTGATACTTGGAAGCGGGCCCTCCCCTGCCCCGAGTCGCTTGAAGTCAGCCGAGGAAGCGCAGAGGCGCCTGATTTTGGGCATGCACTTCTCGCATGAAGCCCTCACACGCCACTTGCAGCATCCGGACGTGAGCTGAGAGTTTCAAACGTGTTCGCCTTCAGAAAGTGAACCCCTGGAAATCAAGAGTTGGCTAGAGCGCCCAGTGGCCCCCAATATCAGGAACTTTTATGGTTTCCAAAGGGGTAAACCCCCGACCAGCGAAACTGGCTCCACTTTTTAAGGGATCCACCTTCGCGATCTCGTGCCGGCAATGACCCGTTCGGGACCACGGCTGGAGGTGCGCGGAGTTTCCACGTGAGCATTTTGCTTGCCAATCTTCAATGATCAAAATCTGATTTGGACAATAAATCCCATATATCTCTGCTTGCTTGTTCCCCTGGCTCACTTTGGCTCTGAAAAAAAAACACCCCTGTTTGACAGACGCAAATCCATTGCTTTCAACTTGTTGCGTTCCCAAAGCAAACGCAGTTTGTTGAGTCGTTATGAGGCAAACGGGACATCCTTTGAAGCTGTTGTGATTGCAGCCTCCGTTGTGGCAAGCTACGGATGCTTATGGGCGTAGTTTTTGCGCAAAGTTTCACGGCGCCCCGGCATCTCCTCCGAAGCCGTTCCTCTGTTGCAACCCCCGCCTAACGCCGCTGGGAATCAGCCCAAAACGAATCAAACCCAAGCAAGCAAGTTGAGGTGCCCGGCAGCTCTGAAATGAGAGTTACCTTGCGAGAGGGCTTAGAATCCGATGCTAACTCTAGAAAACGCTTGGATGTGCTTCTTGTGGATTGTGGTGGTTCTTTTTAGGATTTGGTTAGTACCCTTTGAATGTCCAACAGGGGTGGCACAAACGCCGCATCCAAACGATTGTCTAGACTAAGCCAAACCACCTCCATGTAAGATGTGGTCTTTCTGGCTAGCTAGCCGTCCCATGCCGGCCAAACCAGTGAAAGGCTCAGCGTTTTGTTTTTGGGTCAAAGTCACTGCGCCTCAGCCTCGTTGCACCTGACCATTTCAGCAGCTGAGGTTTAGGGCTTCGGATCCAGCACCGGGGTGAGGCCATGCGAAACCTCACTGAGAGCTGGCAGCGGTGCCAGAAAAAGCAAAGCTGGCGCAGTTGATGCGGTTGGTGTTCATAAGTTATGCATAAGCCCCTTTCTCCATGGAGGTCAACCTGTTAAAGCCATTGGGCTTCAACAAGGCGTTGCCTGTTGCAAGGCAGATGCCGGCTGTTGAGGTCAGTCAAGCAACGGCTCGCAGAGTTTTCTTCGAATGGACCAACTGCGGGCAACGGTCATCAAGCCTTTCAGAAGTTTCTCAAGAAGGGCCCTGCAAGTGTCACCGCACGTGATTAGCTTTGATCATGACCCTTTTGGATTCTACCTCCGGAATTTGACAATGGCCATCATTGAAGAGAGCATCGCCGTAAGGGGTTCTGATGTTCAATTCCGTTGAGTCGACAACCTTCAAGCAGAGAGGGTTTGGTGAAGGCTCAAATGACATTTAGCAGAAGGGTTCTCGTTGTAGAAAGGGGGTCTGGGGTTCTGCCGATTGTAAGGTAGGGCTAGCGAAAATGACACCCGCGCAAAGCAACCACCCCTGAGACGCAAATCGCAATGGCACCTTTCAATACACTGCACGACTCGCAAGGCGACACCCAGTGTCGCAAGAGCTACGACCTGCGCACATGCACAACGAACAAATTAACCACTCCCAGCCTCCCCCAACGGCACCACAACTTTCGCCACCTGCCACGACTGGCGAACGCTTGCGGACGTAGCGACGTGTTTTGGCGAGCTGACAGTTTGTTGAAATCGATTGTAATCATTCTGGCGCGGCAGTCATGGCAGCCGCAGCACTTCGGAGGACAGTGTTAATTCCGTGGCAGCGCAGCACTTTGGAGAGTCGCTCGCTGAATCTTGCGGCAGGCGCAGCACTGAGAAAGGAAGATCGCTAGATAAATGCATAGATGCACAGACACACTGACAGATTAGATACACACAAGGGATGACAGACAGACAAAAATATAGACAAATAGAACGACTGACAGATACATAGATTGATTGAAAGTTAGATGCAGGGAGAGATGGCGAGATAGGTAGATAGGTAGATAGGTAGATAGATGGAAAGGCAGATGGCTAGCTAGATAGACAGACAGATAGATAGTAGAGATGAGTAGATAGAAGATAGAAAGTAAAGGTAGAGAGGCAAAGGGTTAGGGACAGACAGACAGGCTTAGATTGGCTTAGGCTTGGTGATAAATAGGGGGAGGGCGAGAGAGGGAGAGGGAGGGAGAGAGAGAGAGAGAGAGAGAGCCAGGTACATAGACAGATAGAGATGGATGAGATTACGGTATTCCGTTGTCATAGGTTGTTTAGAGCGAGACAGGTAGGTAGGCAGGTAGGCGGATAAATCGGCAGGTGGATAGATGTACAGATGTGTAGATGAATAGGCATGTAGGTAAATAGATGCATTAACAGATGCAGGATCAAAAGCCGAAAAGTCAAAAGGCCAACAGGTAGGTAAATGGATAGGCAGGGACGCACGCACACAACGGTAGCTTTTGGCAAGCAATCAATCTGCATTCGGGTTCATGGCTTCCATCAGGTTTTGTTCTAGGCAGTCGCGTTGGCACGTGAGAGTGTGTTAGCTTCCTAGGCTTGGGAAGCCCTCGTTGAAAGGAGTAAGATCCATACTCCCTTGTTGAAAGCAGGCCCTTACAGGTGGAGAAAACCCAATGTGAGCATTATGTTAGCAGCGACCTGGGCTTGTTACAGGAGGTGCCCCATGCCAACTTCAGAAACCCCGGCCTCTGGACCACCACTTTGAGCTGAGGCGTGGTCGAGTGGGAGTCTCAGAAAGGTGCCGGTTCTGTTCTGCTTTCGCCGTTGTGTTTCGATCCTTGTCAATTTCCTGGCCCCCTCTGGCCACTGGCTCAGAACATCTACCAGGGTCATCATGACTGGTTGCTCAAAGTTGAATTTTGGCCCAGGGATGTGGGTTTCCTTCTGTAAGGGGGTACATCCGAGGCCGCTTGCTTTCCAAGGCTGGACCGAGCGGGAGCACAGCGGCCAAGCAGAGCCCTCGATTCATGGCACGTTGCGAGGTGGCTTTGGGATTGGCTTGTTAAATGGGTACACGCCGAATTGGAAGGCGTCCTTTGGTTTACCGCTTGAAACGATGCCGAGAAGGATCGAACAATGTACCTTGAAAAAAAGCACCCGATGGATCTGTGGCATGGCGGTCGGTTCGCTTGTTTGTTGACCTGAAGTGGGGAGGATACAGTTTTATCATGTTCCGTGTGAATGCGCGTGGTGCCTTCAGAAGCAACCGCAGGAATGCGCATTGTTCTGCCAAAGTGGGCTTATCTTGAAGGCTTTTGTTTTTCTGGGTGTTGCATGAAGCTGGCACGCGTGTTGTTCGGCCGCGCCTGCCATACAAGGCAGGTTTTCGTTGCAGCATGATTGGACTGTCGAAGCTTGAATTGTTTTGAGCAGGGTGCTGACTCCCTTTGAAGAACTGAGTGCGGCATGCTCGGGTGTTCAACCACGGTTTCTCGGTTCAAAGATTGCCTGACATTGCTACCCTTTTAGCCAGTGGGAGAAGTCCAGCTGCTTGGAGGATGTCTGGATGGCAAATGCATGCTTGTGCTTTCAACTGGCAGAAGCTAACTGAACCCCACTTGCTCGGGCATCAAATCGGAAGTGCAGTCCACCCAAGAAGAATACAGGAAAGCAAGACCCAGCAATCATTCGCATGGGGCCCAACTCCCTGCATCGCCGGTCGTGCGTCGCTTGGGCTCCAGCTTCGGAGAAGGGAAAGAGTCATTATTCGAACCATAGTATCTGGCAGAAATCCCCTTCAAAGAGAGGTGCGAGAGGGGTCTGGTCATAAGTCATACCCTGAAATATTGAACCCTCAAGTGCAGCCGCTTCAACGTGGGGTCATTTCGTCCTCGCATTTCATTGGATAAGTAGTGACTAGCTTCAGGCAGTTGCAGAATGGTTGGCATTGGCACGTTCCGCTCTCTTGGCATTTGGGCAAAATGGGATGGTTGGATAGCGCAAAGCTGAGTGATCAGACAAGGGAACTCCTAGAAGCCGGGCCATACGCAACTCGAGCAAGCGGCAGTGTCTCCTCCAGACATCCAAGAGTGCAACATTCTATCGGCGGTTCGCGCTCATGTGGCGCCCTATGCCAGCATCCCAGCTGGCTGACCGTGCGCGTTGGTTCACTAGGTTTCTGATGTAGCATCTATTGGCGCCTGAGGATTTTGTCAATTGCATCCGTTACAGAACGTTTAGATATGGATGATCGCCGGGCCGGGGCCAACTGAGTGGTTATTCCTAGTTGTCGTGAATATATTACATATATATATATATATATATATAATTTTTTTGCGGCGCTACGTTCGCGCGGGACTGAGGGCAACCTTGCATGAAGCAGGACTTTTCAAGGAACCCAAGTTGAAGCAATTCAGCAATGCCACATGGAGTCTTGGAGGGCCAGTGTTTGATAGTTGAGAGACATGGAAGAGTTCCGGCCAAAAGCAACTTATCCGCGCCATGCTGGTGATGAGCACGCTCGTCTAGGGCTGCTAGATGTTGTTTGGCTGGTTGCGCGAGGGTTTTGTGGAGCTGTCGGGGTTGCACGGGCCCACAAGCCCTTTTGCTGGGTGGGCTTTCCAGCAGCAGCAGCAGCAGCAGCAGAATCGTTTGTCAACGCAAAGTTTGCCGCTGTTTTAGGAACAATGTGTGTGTGTGTGTGTGTGTGTGTGTGTGTGTGTGTGTGTGTGTGTGTGTGTGTGTGTGTCTGTGTGTGTCTGTGTGTGTCTGTGTGTGTCTGTGTGTGTCTGTGTGTGTCTGTGTGTCTGTGTGTGTGTGTGTGTGTGTGCGGGGTGTGCGGGTGCGGGTGCGGGTGCGGGTGCGGGCGCGGGCGCGCGCGCGCGTGCGCGTGCGCGTGCGCGTGCGCGTGCTCGTGCGCGTGCGTGTGCGTGTGCGTGTGCGTGTGCGTGTGGTGTGCCTGTGCCTGTGCCTGTGCCTGTGCGTGTGCGTGTGCGTGTGCGTGTGTGTGTGTGTGGTGTATTTCAAAGGGTTTGGTGGGGGCAAGGGCAGGCTGCCGGTGACACGGTTTTGGAATTGTGATGGCTTAGGGCACCGGATAAGGGAGCATGCGACTGCTTTTGCAAGAAGCTGCTTTGGGACGTGACCAAGGCTGCATGCTGTTGTGCTGGCAGGGACGCCCAGGAATGATCTCAATGCCAAGATGAACGCTGTTTTGCGAAGCTTTCCGTAAGTTTGTGGAAAGAGCCATTGCCTGCGACTCGGAGTCTGCATGCAATGAGGCTCAAGACAGGAGACACACTTTCTTGATGATGGGCTTAACTTGCCAGACCATCCTGTTTGCTTGTCCATTTTTCCTCGGGGGCATCAGCCGGAACCACGTCGCCAACTGCCTGCGACGAAGGGCTGCGAGCATGATTCACGCCTTGAAGGCTGAGTTCCAGGCAGTTGGCCACCAAGCGAGGATTATCAGGAGTAGATCTGGTTTGCCTGATTGTTCTGCGGGGTAGCTAGTGAGATCTAATGCATTTGGTCATGTCCAACTTCCGTCCACTTCCGGGAAGATGGCTTTGTGCCTTGCCAACTGTTGGGTGTTTCACCCGCAGCCATACGAATGGGCGGGTTGCTTGTGCCGGCCGGCTTCTTCCGCGCCTAGGCAGTGCTGCTTTGGCCCGCAGCGAGTGCTGGGCAGCCACAGTTGGACCGGCGAGGGTGAACCCTCAACGGACCCAACATGGCTTTCCCGTGGCACAATCCAACGCATCTGCAGAAACACTGGCATTGTGCCTCAAAGCTTAGTGGTCAGCAAACAGGCGACTTTTAGCTTCACTTCCCACTGGTAGGCGCCAACATGACACCCACCTGGGTGCGGAACAGATGGAATGTTGACGACCTAGGCCACGTATGGAGCACATGATGAAGACACACATATATATACGCTTTCCTCATGTAGACTGTTCCAGACATGTCAATTTGCCGCCAGCCTCCTGCACTGCTGCACACTTCTCAGGCAATCTTTGCAGATCTTGCACGGGTGTCGTTCCTTTTCCCAGTTGACCTTTTGCATCCCAATCAAGTCGTCCTCACCTACGACTTTTCGCCCTTCCAGTTCTCCTGTTCTGATTCTCCTCCTGTTTTGACCCATTTTGAGCCACGATCCAAAGTGGTAGATCCGTAAACCACTAGTCCAATCCCACCAATTTGGGAGGAGAAAGGTGGCTTTGGGCATTTAGGGCGTTGAACTCCTGGTTTCTTGTTGTCTTCAAAGAGGGGGATACCCACACCCTCCAAACATCCAACCCAAAGCATCAATTGGGGGCAAGCATTTTGCTCCGCCTCCGCCGGAGTCAGGCAGAGGCTTGGCGGCCCCGGCCGCTGGATGCGCGGGCGCCATGCATTGCGTCGAGATGCCCATGGTAGGACAACCATGTGGTGGCCCTTTTTGGGTGACCCCCTACAAGACGGCATGCAACTACGTTAGGGTCCTAAAAGGCACCCTTTCTTTTGTCAACCCGCCCCCCCCTGGTTTTTATCGTACCTTTGAAGCTAAGCAGCTGGCCTTGGCTTTTTCAGGTTAACCTTTCGACAGTAGCCTGTGTTCGGCGGGGCGGTTGGGATGAAGTGATTGACATACACCCCAAACCATCTCAATTGACATCAGCTTCGAGCATGTGGTGTCTCCGCATTTGTGCGTGCAGAGCCAGAGTCCAATTTGCCATCTTGCCAATGCTTATAAACAAATTGGGTGCAAGCTTGCTTATTCATTCAGGTTCGATGTAAATGGGCATCCTGCAATTGTTTGCCTGGTCTGCTGTCGCTCTCAGGTCAATGCACCCGTGCTGCAGGAGCCTACTGCGCAAGCCTCAGATGACGCGCAGCTGCGCAACACCCGTTGACCTTGCGTGGAGACGATTCCCCGAACTGGTTGGTCCCGTTCAGCTGAGTGGCAGCAGGCACCTGGACCCAGCTTTGGTGTTTTGCGCTCTCTTAGGGCTCACGCAGCTTGTCTGTGAAAGCTTTTGGCCTTTTGTTCTGGTCAAGGGACCCCTTGGAGAGCGCAATCAGCTGTCAGCTTGCTTTTTCTGCCTCCGCTGACCTCAAAGGCTTCCCCTACTGGGCGGTGATCAGGGATCCAATTGCAATGGACCGGGCGGCTGCTTCAGCTGTGGGCAGGTCCAGCAGTATTGGCACTTCCTCCAGAATTACACCGAGGCAGGCCTGCAACTGAAAAATGTCCCACCTAAGACGGATGCTTGAGAGGAAGACCGTTCCCAGGATCTTGCCTCCAAACTGTTTCTGCTGTTGCTTGGCCTGGCAGCTCGCAACTTAAGCGCCCCTGCCACGCTCACACCCTGGACAATGTGAATGAGCGCCTGTTAGCAAACGCTCAGATAGCACCAGTGAGAAGCCCCATCAGTGCTCATCCGCTGTGACAAAGGCTTTTGTGTCAGACAGAGCGCTGCACTGACTGCCTTTAAGATGCCGTATGTCACTGCTGGGGGGCCGGCCTTTGGTCTGCAAAGAATGGGTGGAGCAAGCATCTTCGCATGGGAGTGTTGCTACTCATCCAGGCATTTAGTTTGCTGCTGATTCCCTCAAACTACCCCAGAGAGGGTTCTGCGGGTTTGATGCAGAATCCCAGCCCAGAATCAATCATGGGCCCTTGTACAGTACGCCGGGGTATTTTCAACATCCCCCCTATGGCCCTATGGGTTTGATGGGTTTCATCCTTTCTTTCGGAAGGTGCCGCTGAAGAGCTTCGATCAGGCGAACGCCCCGCCGGTACTGCGGGTCACCAACCTGGATGCACGGGCCTCAGGCCTCAGTGCGCGGTGCTTTGTGCGTTGTGCACACCCTCGTCGTTTTCCCCAGTTCAACGGTGTTCTTCTGCAAAATATTGATTGGTGGATACCCCCACTGGGTGGGGGAAGGGATTATGGTCCAAACTCAAAATCGAGGAGGAGGATTTATGTTCTTCCATCGTTTGCCAAGTTGCTAACACTGAGCCAAGGGACCTGTGACAGGTCCGTATGAGATCAAAGCTGCTAGAGATCTCACCCAAGACACAAGGATTTATCCTTCACATCCTGCATGTCCCCACCTATGATGCATCCAGATTCTCCCTTTGATTGCGCCATGCTGACTGCTTTTGCACAGACCCAGTCGGCCGAGAGCGAGGGGCCAGACTGTGAGCCAGGATGCCACCTTTCAGCAGTTGGTGCGGGACGGCGCCGGGCTCAGAGATGGCAGGGTATTTTGTCGACAGCACCGTGGGGTTTGGCCGAGGCGTTTCCCGAGTTGTGATCCTTTTGGGGCCTTTGGTGAAAATTGGCGACCAAAGGATACCGTGGTAACGTGGTACGGTGCAAGGTAGAGCAGATGGCCCCCAATGCAACACCCCTCTCGCCAGGGCCCACGGAAGTGAGAAGCAATCATTGAAGTTCGCCAACTACAATGTCGCCTCAGTCAACGTTCTCTTGAATTCACAGGACAATGGGTTTCCATGTTTTGGTCATGGACCACGTAGTCTTCTGGTTGCGGCCCCATGGACATAGCAGCTGTTGCTTTTCTGACTTCCACGGGCTCAAAGTTGCCAAACAGAGACGATATCAGCAGCATGCATGTCACTTGCGAATCGCCAGCCCGAAAGGGAGGGGGAGGGGGTGAAACAAGTAGGTAAGTACGGTGCAGATCGCTCCGGGTCAAACAAATATGTATATACACAGATATGATACAAATATATATATATATATATATACACATAGATATTTCTATGTGTAGGCATCGATGGATCGAGCTTGTAAGTCCCACAGGTGTGCCCTTTGTGGTGGACGACTGCACCAGGGGCTTCGATGAAGATGCCATCAGCGAGTTCGAATGCTCAGGGCCCCAGCCAGCGCAGAACCCGGCGCCCGGCCAACCGATAGCATTTTGAAGCAGTTGGCGAATTTGGCCAGGGAAATTGAGGAACGTTGACGCGTTGTTCCTGGCCGACAGCATGCTGAATCTGCAGGTGTTTGAGGGAAATCGAGGGATCCAGGTTGATCCCTCTCTAAAAGTTGTTCGATGTTCGAATAT